AGCTTTTACTATTGCAACGGTAGGTGGTTCATATCCACATCATCACAAGGGTGACCCAAACCCGCCCACGCACTGCCCAGACCTTTTCATTCAAACCATGGTCAATAGAGGTGAGGTGCCCGAGCAAAAATTTCAAGGTCAAGGACGCCGAGGCCCCCCCATGATGGTCGGCCAGCACACAAGGTCCCACCTCACCTTATACTTCCCTCTAGAGTCTAGACACTTTGTCAGCACCGGCCAAACAAAAGCACTCTAGCTAACGATTGCCTTCGTGGTCCCTTTAGGCACAACCAAGGGAGTGAGATGATGAATAGCCTGAGAGGAAATGACCACTTTGACCAAAGCATTTCTACCAGCCGATTTGAGAAGCCGTCACTCCCAATCCCAACCCACAAGCTTTCTGGTCATCTTGTTGTATAAATGTTGGAAGTCAATGGTTCTCAGACGAGGCACTGACATCGGGAGACCGATGTAGCGCAATAGAAAATGAGCTCTAGTTACCGAGAAGGCACGAAGGTCAAGGTGGGCACCGAACATCTGGTGTTATAGCTGTATAGTAGTACAATTATGATATGTACTATGTTTATGGAACATATAATGGACACTGCAAATCTAAGTTGATCTTCAAGTGTGGTCGAATTTGTTACCAAAACGCATACTAGCAATATTGTGTTCAATTACTTCTAAATAACATGGATGAAAACATCAAAAGCTTCGGTCAAACATGGATGTAGATACACCCATTAAATTTGGATATGATTTTCTGACAGTACGTACAAAAGTATAAATGTTCTAACATCGACCGGTGTTATGTATCAAAATCGATGTTATTTTGCCCACTACATACGCGCGCACTATACATACAGTCATACAGGGCGCATGATCAATGTTAGTACTCCACGTTCTGATAGAAAGGAGAGCGAAATTTATGCTGCAATGGGGCTATGCAAAATTCAAAACTAATGATTTTTTCACTAAGAGATTACCAGTAACTTTGATTTGCACGTATGTCAGATAAATGAGGTGCGGGGTCTCCTTGGCAGTCTGACCGAGGAGATGCCGAGTTTCCTGTCAGACGCCACCATCCGCCGTTTCCTCCGAGCGAGGAATTGGAGCATGGAACAAGCAACCAAGGGTCTCAAGGAAACCGTCAAGTGGAGGCGTGAGTATAGGCCGGATGCAATTTCCTGGGTCAGTAAAATTTAACTGTATACTCTATTAGCCTTATAGATTGCTCCATCTCTAAATATTTGCTCATAATTGTGTGTCGTATTACTCTGCTTCAATGGATTGTGTAAACAAGTCTTCTCTGTTGCGAACAAATGTCAGGAAGACCTTGCTGAAATGGAGAACGAGGCCAGGAGAACACATGTAGCCGACTACCTTGACAAGAATGGAAGAAGTGTCCTTGTTGTAAACCTACCAATGAAGGTACTTTACTTATGGCATGTTACAATGATCAATCCATTAGTGGATATTGGTAACAAGCACTTGAACACCAACGAAGAAGAAAGCGTGTCTACCTTTTTTCCCTACTAATTAAGGTTCATTAACTTGTACAACAGTCTAAAGTTTCAGTCAAGGAGCAGATAAAGCACCTGGTGTATCTCCTCGAGTATTTCGCCACCAACTCAGCAGATGGACAAGACGACTGTGTTGTTTGGTTGACTGACTTCCGAGGCTGGTCAATATCGAGTACGCCATTGTCGACAACCCGTGAAACCATGTACATAATTCAAAATTACTATCCGGGGGTGATAGCAGTGGCGATTCCTTTTGACCCGCCGAGGATTTTTGAATCTTTTTGGAAGGTATACAAAGATTCTAAATTGTGGTGTTTTTTGCTCACATCCAACGTTTTTTTCTTCTTCTAATCATGCACATATCCACGTTCGTGAGTCGTGGGTTGCCCGACTTGTAGAAGGGTGGATATATAACCTTGCTGTAGGGCTTTCATAACAGTCTTGTCTCATATATGTGGTACTTAATTAGGAACTTCAACACTATTTTCTGATGGTTAATCCTAGTCCGCACCATGCACACGTAGTCGCTGCCAACTTATATGTTGGTATTTGCTAAACAAGTAGTGGTAAAACCCCACATGAGCGTCCACACGCAATGGAAATGGAAAATCCATTGCAGTCTTGTGAGAGTGTGTTTCGTGTTTATCAGTGAATATCTCAATTTGATTTAACAACTCTGTCTTTACTTGATTTGCAGATAGCAAAGAACTTCATCCAGCCAAACATGAAAGAGAAAGTGAAGTTTGTGTATGCTAACAAACCAGAGAGCCTGAAGACAATTGCTGACATCTTTGACTTAGACATGCTGGAGTCGTCATTTGGAGGAAGAAGCACCAGTACAATCTTTGACATCAACAAGTATGCTGAGAGAATGAGAAGAGCCGACAAGATGAGAGGAGCATCAAAAGTCACAAATGGCAAATGATCTCCATGAGCAATGACCATGATTAAATACAAGTTGCTTGTGAGCCATACATGATCAATCGTCTGCCTTCGAGTTAGTAGGCTACTATATATACATTAGTTGAGTGCCCGTGTTGCCATGGAATACAAAATAAGCACACCAATCAAATCCTTTGACTTCATAAATTTGTCGAAGATGATGACATATGGTTCCATCCATATAGAAACATATACTTGTTCTCCTTTTCCTTTTTCCTGAACAATCATCACTTGTTGATATTTTTAATACTAAGGGTTTTTGGCAAGATATTCTTATTAAGAAGTACTTTTTGAAAAAAAAACTTTGGGACAATTGGTTTCCAAACTTAACATATTTTCTTTGACTGCCCTATAGAGTAAGTACAATAGGATGACGTAAGCAGGCTGTAAGCCTTTAAATATTGTGTTTTTGATGACTTGGAGAAGAGAGCAGAGGAGAGAGAAGGGAAACGGGTTACTAATTAACAATCGGCTGCAGCATGCGCTCCTAGACATGTTGTGAGAGAGTGAGGTGGGCCATGTATCGAAAAAGTAGTACATATTTATATGCAATTATTGTACCTGTCGGCTATAAGTTTGGCTATAGATGATGTGGCAAGATCATATAGCCAGCGCCTGGCTATACTATTAACCATGCTCTTAGCTGAGAGGAGATTTGTAGCATGTAGGGGCTAGGGCTCACACTTTGAGGGGCAGTTGTGGCCACTCATCTACCTTGTGACTCGGAAAGTGGGTTGGTTCCATGCATGGTTTAAGTAGTTGATTACTTTGACCCCTCCCTCTGTGCATATGCTTTGTAAGAGGTTGTATGCTCCACCCATCTCATCCACCATGCTTATTCATTTGACTTCCAATTATATATTCCGAATTGAGAGTCCAATTTATGTTTTGTTTTTTGCAAATTTATGTTCCTCGTGACAAGGGCTTTTGATTGCCTTCGATCCAGTTTTGGATGTAGACATGGCCTTCTTCCTCGAGACCCTAGGATTTACCGAATCTAGGAAATGATTATGCTTACTAAGAAGATTTTGGCAAGCACATGTTATCTCAAAACATTTCAGTTTCCTAACCAAATCACATAGGTGATTAAAAAGACCATAATAAATAAATAGATCATACTAAAGGTTTCATTGTAGTTGCGTACATGTGTTCATGATTCTATCTAGATAATCAACATGCATTGGTAAACACCGTCACATATATCTTGTCAACCAATTGTTGTGAGAGATGCATCCAAATGACCCCACGACTTACTGCCAATATATCGAGGTTCTATTGTCGAACCAAGGCCCTATACGACCCAAGGGGTTATCTCAGTTATTATGAATAACAGACCAATGCATTGGTCATTAATGAATGCACCTTACCTACCCCAGAGACTTGATTCCGGCTACCACACTAATCTTATTGTTAACGACATTTGGCATAGCTTTCCTCTACTCCCTGCTATTTACCTCTCATAGTTCCGATCTTCAATATCCCGGGTACCTGCGAGTCACAGGATCGAGGTAGAGACAAGAGACAAATAGTTGCACAACAAATAGGAATAGCATTCTCTCAAAGTAAACCAACAATCCATTTATGCACGATACATGGGGCTGTGTTTCTATGCATCAACCTTTAGCCTAAGAGAACTACTCACACGCCTCAAAGAAAACATAAGCAATAGACTTGTAAAGATTGATAATTGAATAGGCATGATCGAAAATCTTGTAATAATGCTAAACACGATGTATTCTCAGTTGCAAGTAATTAAACTATTGGAGATGGAGGCTATGGTGGCGAAGACATATATAGCTTGATTTTGCACCTAAATAGTCCATTTCTGCAAAACAAAGCAATATATATTGTAAAGATCGGTACTTGAATAGGGATGATTGAAAATCTTACAATGCTGCCAATCACGATGTATTCTTGTTACAAGTAATTAAACTAATAGAGATGGAGGCTATGGTGGCAAAGACATATGTAGCTTGATTTTGCACCTAAATAGTCCATTTCCGTTTCTAAGAAAAAGTCCATTTCTGCAAAACAATATATAAATAAGGGGATTTTCT